AGAGAGAGAGAGAGAGAGAGAGAGAGAGAGAGGGGGGCACCGAGAGAGAGAGTGAGAGAGAGAGTGAGAGAGAAAGAGAAAGAGAGAGAGAGAGAAAGAGATAGAGAGAGAGAGAGTCTGGAGATTGTTTAAAGACCTTTTCCTTGGTAGGAGATAGGGAGGGAGGGGGAAGTGGATTTTTGGGGGAGAGAATGGGGTCGAGGAGAGATGAGAGAAGAGGTTTTAGTATAAACTCGATACATACCTCACATTGTATACAGCGAGCATCCTCGGTTCACCGATGCAAACCCCGTAGGGATAGGCGACTGTCTTTTACTGTCTTTTTCCCCAGGTTCAGCATTATATTATGGATGATGTAGCCATTTATTCTATTTTTAAAAATTATTATTTATTTTTAAAACAAATTTGATTTGCATTCTGCTAGCTATATGTTCAAGAAACATTTTTTTTACTGCAAAATCCGCGTTTAATAAATAATTTGCACTTTGTATTACTGTGTGTGTGGGTTTGTTGTTGTTGTTTTTATTTTTGTTCTTGTTCTTGCTTCCTTTATTTACTTTTTTCTCAACTATTCAGAGTTAATGTCTTCCATAACTCTCTCTCACAAACTCTCTATATATATCTCTCTCTCTTATAAAACCTCTCTCCCTCACTCTCTATCTCTCTCTGTTTCAGCTATACAGAGTTAATGCCCACCTTAACTCTCTCTCACTGTCTGTCTCTTACAAACTCTCTGTATTTCCCTCTCTCCCTCACTCTCTATCTCTCTCTTACAAACATTCTCTGTCTCCATCTCTTCTCTCTAGCTCTTATAAAACCTCTCTTTAGCCTTGATCCTTCATAGATGTATCACAGTTTCAGTTAGTTTCCGGCAGGTTTAGGAAAAAGAAGCACGTACCGAACCACTTATATTAATTGCACAAGAGGGGGGAGGGGGTTCAGGGGTGGCTCTCCCCTCCCCTCCTGACAAACCTTTAATGAACCGAATATCAAGATTAGACTTATCTTGATCTTCCGCCACGGTTCTTCATTGAGAGAGATTATTAAAAAGTGGGGAAAATCACGGCAATTGTGCCAATCCGCTGGTCCGGTATTCTTTAATCTTACCAGAGAGTCTGTATACTAGCTTAGCGAGAGAGGAAAGCGAGGCGGGCAGTCCGTGACAACAATGCTAGCGGATGCGAGATCGTGGCGCGGTAACCTACTTTCAAAGTAAGAAGGTAAACAACACCGCGTGCGCAGGGTGTGGGCCAGTGCTAGATGAACTGTACTGTTAAGTCAGCAAAGACATTTACAGGTTCGGGTCTCACAATTCAACACATCGTCATCACAGCGTCCTCTCGTCTTGACTTGGAATAAAGGGGTCTTTACAAAATTTGGGGCCCCAAGTTGTAAATCTCCGCCCTCCCACACTTACATTTCCTGCTCCATGGGATTCTGAGCCACATTGGATACCCCGAAAGTGTAATAGATGACCATGATGCCTCCGATTTGAACAAGTGAACTCCTTTTAGCGCTCTAGTGACCCCTTTTTGTAACAGTTGGCCTATTGATGCTTTGCTGGGAAGCGGCATTCAGGATATATATTCTGATGTTTATATATGTGCCCTAGCTGACCCTCTTTGTTATAGCCCGACAACTCGTATTTTTACTATTATCAACATCATTGAGACTAGTCCCCTAACCCCGTTTCAAGTATAACAATAAAGACCTGGGTCACGTTGAACATGATTCAAAGTATTCATTAGTTAAGCAATTACAAGCAGAACAACACAGCAACAAAAGTAACTTTACCTACATAAATGAAATCCATTCAATACTGGGACTGCAAGTTTTTATCTTCCCTACTGATGCTGAAATGTGGCAGTTTTTCTTTCAGATGACTTCTTTGAATTGGTCCCTGCATATTCTCGATAGGTGGTTCTGATGAGAAAATGAAGTCTAATGTTCACAAACAGGTTTATGGCCAGGAAGTGGACCTCACAAGGGTTGTCGCTTGCACACTGAAGTGCAATCCCCTCAGTCGATGACATGACCTTGCGAATGAGACTTACTCTTAGGCCAGAGACGTGCAGTTGTACAGAAGCATTTTCCTGAAATGTTGTCTCTGCCACTGCCAGGGCTTGATGCAAGGCATCAGAGGGTGCGTGTAGGCCGGTCGTTTGGGTCTTGTCGTGATTCTTTTCACACAGAAAAATGTGCAGCATTGTCCGGCATTTTCTCCTGTGTCAGCATCTTCTGGCAGAAGGGACATACACTTTGGTACAATTTAGAAGCAACATGTATGCCAGAATGTTGTCCTCTGCTGTTGAAATCACTAGTGATTCAGGTACTTTGGCTGTCAGGAATTTCCTGATTGGTTTTGGAACATCCATCTGTAGCCGACTTCTAATAGAGTTATAGCCCCTTTCCGGCACGAGAATTTCAAAACTAAAGAGAAATGTATTTAGATCATCCTTACAGTTTTTAGTGTCTCCGGTGATAGCACAGCATCAACTATTGTCTTCCTAATTGCCAGAAGGAATTCTATTGGATCTGGGTAGACCCTGTGTCCACCTTTGCCATGTATCACTGAAAACATATTCTCAAGACTGTCTTGATTCAGGCGGCTTGTCAGGAGGAATTTGAAACCACAGTCCTCTTTCAGGTGTTGCCAAAGCTGTATCAAACTCTCTATGGAGAGTTTCCATCCTTCAAGGCAGGGTAGGGTTTTCGTTTTGTTTTTGCAAACAATGTTGCCCAACCACGCTTGCGTGTCTCGCACAAAAGCTTCATGCCGCGAATTTGCCGTGATAGTGTGGCCTATGGTGCTCTTACTGTTGAGGCGTCTACTGTTGAAGCAATTGAACAACTGATCAAATTGCTCAACAAACTCTGCCGTTGGTATTGCGTCAGATGGCAACGCCCCAAGAGACACCATTGTTGAAATCCCCGCCGCGATAGTGTGGCTGAGAACCTACACTGCCAGACTCACACGTAGATGTGCAAACGCTGACATGGAGATATGCCGCTTGGTAAGTTTGGGTGCCATGCATATTGGGAGGGTAGAGTCCATGTCATAGAATTTGTCAAAGAACTGCCAAGAGACGATCCGATCATTGAAAAGAAACCTGTTCCTCTTTAAGTTATTGCGAATGTTTTTTATCAGATGTGGGGGATCGAACATGGCAAAAATTTTGAGACCCTCTAAATGGAAGAAAGGCTGAGCTGTTGTAACCCCTAACCTTTTCATTATTGACCTATTGTTTGTCCCTTGATCACAAATGACTATTTTTGGAGTGAGGCCTATTTGTTTGATGTTGTGAATGACTGACTGGAGGATTGCTGATTTTGTTGGACCACGGGACAGCACGTCCGGGATTGGTTGTTTCCAATTTGTGGACAAACCTCGCACCATGAATACAAGAGTATGGTCAGCATGAAGTTTGGAACCTCCAGTTGCACCGAAGTCCTCAAAACCTTCAACTTCGTCGTTGGTTTGGTCATATTTGATGCCATGTTTCAGTGACATTTCCTCAAACACAATGGCACACATTTTCTCTTGAGTGCTCATCTGCATCTCCTTAATCCTGAACAAACGCATGATGCTTTCACAGATCCCTGAGCGGATGTTAATATTGTGCATGGCTAAAGAAAGGGTGCGTGGGGTTGGTAGATGGAAGATTTTTTAAAGTAAACTATATGCTTTTTTGCTGGCATGGTACAGCAACAGAGCAAAGCTTTTCTCTTGAAATGTCCATCTTCGTGCCTTGCTTCCAATGTTGGAAACTCAGATTTGAGTTATTACAAACTTCAATGCTCTCTCGGGCAAATAATGGCTTAGAAGTTCCTTCAAATTTTCTAAAGTGTCATCAGTTGATGAGGTGGTGGTAGCAGTGATAGCGTTTTGTTTAGCTTTGTTGGATAACTTTAACCTTTTCCTCATTCGCCACGTTTTCATTCTTTCTGCTTTAAGTTTTCTTTTTAGCGTGCACTCTCTTTGTTCCTGTTTATGACTAGTGGAAGAGCAAGGAACGTTGGAGTTGAAGTCATTGGAGTGGGGTGGTGTGGATGGCGGTGATTGTTCCTGGGTTTCAGGCAGTGGTCGTGATTTAGGACCTGGCCGAGATGGTATGAGTTTAGGAGGATTTGGAACGTTGAAAACTGTAGGAATGGCACACCTTCAAAGGCCTTGTCGTTTTGTCGCTGTTTTATCAAAGTAACAACTTACGAAATGTTCAGAGCACAAATAATTGTTCTTGCTGAGATGAGATGCTGGTTTACCCTCTAGGTCCTGTCTCCTGGTGTTCACCACCCATTGTTTACATCTGAATGAGGTATCAATATAACAACTGTAAATGCAAAGTGCCCAATATACAAATAAAAATACAATGGCTATGAATTATTAAGTCAAAGATCGTAATACATCCATTTTCAATGTGACAAGCACCATAGTACCGGAATATCATGAATAAGTCAACAAACAAAATCCTCTTCAGTTATATTGGGCATTGCTCAGCTGATATTTCTCCATCTATTACTATTAGTTGTTGGTTTTAAAAAAATAACAAACAAATGTTTATGAAATGTTTGTACAATTGTGCATTATCTTTGTATCTGTTTTTTGTGGTTTATTTAATCACATGCTTTCAAATGAATTGTCATACTTAAACACACATTAAAACAAAAATGCCAGTATAAGAAATGGGCAAAAGTGGGAAAGGGGGTAGATTATAATAATAATTTTGTAAAAATCTGTAAACAAAGAGCAAAAAGGCTGATATGAATTATTTCTGGTCAGTTTGCTATGTCTATGGCTCGGTTAGGCTCTTAATTATTTCCTGGCCGAGTGATGGTTAGTGGTCCCTCTTTATTACTAGTAAGAACAAATTGAGTTTAAATCTAAATAAACAATAGTTCAAATAAAGAATTGAAAGCACAATATAATTCTTACCTTGCAGGATCAGAGGGAAATCTAAAAAATCAAAGGTCGGGCCGTTTATTCTTAGAATTTGTACAGTTTACAGCAGAGCACCACTTACAATGCGTCTTTTTCACAACCATTGTTGAACAGAATGATTCGTGTTTACCGTCTTACTTAGGCGTTGCTATGCGCAAAGCCTGATACGCGCATCCCGCATCGCTTTCCCCTCTCGGAAATTCTAAGCTCTCTGATCTTACCTAGAAGAACAAGTACAAGAAAAAATACCAACTTTGTACACAAATATGAAATAAAGTACAAGTAGGCCTACAATTGTAACAATTAAAGAGCTAGATCTAGAATCTAGATCTAAAAATCTGGATCTAGATCTAGACCTCTTAAGTAGATTCTAGATTATTTAGGTTTAGAAAACTTCTACAAAAAGAAAATTGGGCACTAGTCGAGTTGTGATGTCCCGGCTCAGGGGGCGACCATTTTGGCAAAATCAGTTAGGGAATCTCCACATTGGGCGCATCTTCGGCAGTTCCCAACCCACTAATTTGAGCCTTGATCTAGATCTATTATAAGCTATGTTTGATGCTTGGCGAGCGAGAGATATAAAACCTAACTGAACTGCAAAACATCAAATTATGATAAAGCTAACCCCCCCCCCCCCCTCTCTATTTTTTATTAAGTCACGGGGCCTGAAACCCCCCTTGCCTACTCTTGGTTGGATTATACTTTAGTGGTCGGCCCGTGATTACTATGCATGCCTAGCCTAACTACATACTCATAGTACTCTGCGTGCGGACAAAAGGTAGTTCCGCGGGCGACTTCACGCACGCACAACGCAAGCCAGCGGCGACTGGCGAGGCGAGGTGAGCGAGAGGTGGTGGTTGAGGGTGAGCAGGGGAATTAACTTTGGTGGACCACCGCGTATCATACCAACAGAGGCGAGGGGGGGGGTGGGGTTCAGGGGGGCTTGCCCCCCTGTAAACTATAATAAAGAAAACACACAAATGCAAAACAATAACATGAGCGGACAGTCGTGTTTACATATCAATGTAACAACAGTGGGGGAGGGGGGGGGGTTTCAGGGGGGCTAGCCCCCTGGCAACAATAATTTTAAGATACACACACACACACACACACACACATACAATAACATGAGCGGACAATCGGGGTAGATACTTGCCAAGTCGCGAGCAGGGCCGAGGGGGTTGCAATTATGCAAATGAGCTCTCGTGCCCATCTCTCGCCCTCCATTGTACTTTGCCGGACCAGCAGAGTCGCGAGCAAAGAAGAATAGTGTACCACGATAGACCAATTAGCCTCAAGGTGTCAGGGTCGTGGGTCAAAGGGCACAGTGGCATGGTCGTGATGACTGAAAAACCGGGTACAAGACGTCAGTCAATTGTTGGCAGTCGAGGGGTGAGGACGTAGAAAACTGAGTTGGAGTTTGGAGAGTGAGCAGGAGAGCTCGGGAAGGAAGAATAGCGGGCCACTAGGCACCAGGGGCGCCATAGCGAAAGTAGTTCCGACCGGTGGTCCGGTAAAGTACAATCTTACCCTCTTTTTCTTTGTCTCTGTCTTTCTTCCTCTCCACCTATTTTCCACTCTATCTTTCTCTCGTTCCCTTCTGCCAACTGGGGCATGTCATATACATTTTGCTAGCACTTCCCCCTGCTCTCTCTCTCGCTCTCTCTCTCTCTCTCTCACACACACACACACTACCGTGTCTGGGTGCTGAAATTTTCCGAAATCACAAAAGAGTCCCCCTACCGGGTCTGTATACTTCGTGACTTTGTTCCCGGTTACCGGGTCTGTATACACTTCGATTCAGAATGGTGATAAAAATAGCCTCAACTCAAATAGGTTTGGCAGGCGCTCAGTTCAGTGTTTTTACTCGACTTCCGTTTTTGTTTCCGATTTTGTGTATAAATGTCTATGGAGTTAGGCCGGGACCACTTCTCCCGAAGAGTGCCAAAAGGACCTTACTTGCAAGCTCTAATTAACTAGATCTAGATCTAGATCTAGATCTAGATCTATATCTAGATATCTAGATCTAGATCTAGATCTAATTACTAATTACTCTAATTAATTTGAAGATTTTCCGCGCTTTCGCTTCTCTAAATTTTCAGCATTGTTGACCACAAAGTATACTTTGTTTTTCCTGCCGTCAGGCAAAAGGTTGATGTAAGCTGTGTGGGTGTCTTGGAGTATTTTGAAAATATTTTTCACATGAAGGAAATTTTAACTTCAGCTTGTTTACTATCACTATGCGCCATGTTTTAAGTTCCATTTCATATTTTTTATAGATAAGTGGAGCGAATCAGTAGAAAACAATTAAAATCTTTCAGAAGATATTGAGGAAGCAATAATTTTATGACTTTGGGGTTAAATAAAATATTTTTGTTGTCTTTAATTGATAAATATTGATTCAATATAATGTAATAAATCTTAGAATAGAATCGTACACAATATTGGTTTTGTCCTTTTTGGTGTTGAGAAACGTCTCGCTTTCGGGTTGAATCCATTGCGCATGCGCAATTACACGAAGAGGTCGGAACTGATGCTGAAGTCTGTCTGTCTTTCCGAGTGATAAGCTTCCACTCTTTCGTTTTTTGTTCCCTTTACACAATGGCTAGCCACGAACAGGCGTTGATCTTAGAACCAGCAGGAGAGTTAAGATTCAAGGGTACGTATGAATGCTCATCAGTATGATGTTTTGTTTGTACTTACGTGGTGACAGTTTGACTGACAGACCCGGCTCCATTCATCTGCCCACTTTTATTAGTATACAGTCATGAGTATCTGTAGAGACCTACTCACCTCCCTACCCGTATAGTTTTGTTCTTCCCGGAAGACTTGCATTATTTAATTATATTTTATAAGAATGTAGGTATGGACTGTGTCAACATTGGGAAATACAGTAGAAGTTCACTTGATTGATTGTGCCGCATAGTATAAGGTGATATACTGGGAAAGGTTTCTTTCCAGCCTCTGGCTGACTGGATGTCCGCATAGCAGAGTTCACTGACTGATCCGTCCTCCAGTCAAACAGGTGGCATCTAGAGATCTAGGCCCTAGATCTAGATCTTATATATTATGGTCTATGGTAGCATTAGCAATAGATCTAGAGGTGTCCAGTGGATATCTATCGAGAATTTGTGACATCTTGGATATACCTTAATGTAATGTCAATGATAATGCTGTGGAAGCCTATAATATAATAATAATGCATTGATTTTGATTGCCATCATTGAACTTGTAATCCTACTGCTAGGCCACTTGGACCTAGGGGGGGGGGGGGTTGTTTATAAATTTATAATCTAGTCTGTGTGTATGACTCAGACTGTACTGTGGCCTCTTTGAATATTAGCAGACCACCACTAGATCTACTCTGGCTCTGGTAGAAAGGGGGGGGTGCAGGGGGCTGTCACAAAAATAATAGATCTAGAATCTAGATCTCTAGGTAAGGTAGGCCTAGATCTAGTTTGCAACAGTTTTTAGTGCCCAAAAAAGTATTCCCGGCTGGTGGTCTGCTAATCTTCAATTTTACCGATCTCTGTACTGTCTGTATTACAGACAAAAGAAGAAATTATGTGTTTTAAAGCAGTTGGGACTTGGTGTTCTCATCTGGTGTAAATGATAAATGCAGAGCCTTATCAAAGCATGGATGACACACAGGCCTGTACTTATGACTTACCCTATTCTTTACACTTGAAAGTTGGAGTGAAGATAAATAAAAAGTAAAAAGATCATTATTTTGTTTTTATTTACGAAGTTACTATTTCTCCGAACGTTCAGGAGAATAAAGTTGAACTCTATTTCTCCGAACGGTGTACACTGCATTGTATTTTTATATGGACTTAAAAGAGGTTGAGTCAAAAAAATAATAATTTGATAAAAATTTCTAAACCGGCGGAAAAATGCCTGTTTATCCGATTTCTGAATTTTGACGGGGGCCTGATTTCACCATGCTGCCTCACAAATGACCATTTCCCTTCAATCTTGTGGGTTTGGGGTGTGATGTCTTGACTGCATCGGTGTGATGAAATGACTGGTGTCCACACACACACACAAACTCTAATGGTCTTACTTATCACACAAACACACAGCAGTAGACATCTGTAGTGTGGTTTGCTTCTTCTAGCAATGACCACGAAAATCCTTTTTTTGCCAGAAAATGTTGTGCAAATAGGTGCATTTTGTAGCTTTATATTCACTGAGCATAGAACTTTTTGAATTTTTAAAATCCATCAATAAAGAAAAAAGTTACGGATTTTTTAATCAATTAATTTCTGGTACACTTTTATATAATGAAAAAACCCCAAAATATGGGACGTTCTTTGGTGAGTTTTGAGACAATATTCGTCATAACTCGCTCATTTCTCTGAGTATTTAAAAGAAACTTGGCAACCCAGTACATTTTCTAGTGCAGAATATAGTCCTGCTTTCAGATTTTTCATAGCTATCCTATTTTTTGAGTTATGAAGACGTTTACAGGTAAAAATGTTGGCCTTTTTCGGTGCGTTTTGAGACAATATTTGTCATAGCTCGCCTATTTCTTGGAATATGTAAATGAAACTTGGCAGTCTAGTACATTTTTTAATGCAGAATTTAGTCATGCAGTCAGATTTTTAATATCTGTCATACTTTTTGAGTTGTAAAGACATTAACAGGTAAAAAAGTGGCGTTCTTTACAGATTTACAAAGATTCAGTCATATGTTCTCCCAAAGTCATGATATTTGAATGAAACTTGGCAACATAAAAGGTTCTTCCTTGCCAAGCAATATTCTGGATCAATTTGTCACAAAAATGTAAGTAGAGAGCTACTAATAAATCCAGTTTTGTACTAGTAAAAGCATGCATACTTTGTTATAGAAAATAAGATTGTCTCTGTGTATATCCATTGTTGGACAGTGTCCTATTGTGTGGTAGATTAAGATGCGTTCAGATAATATAGTTTACAAGTCATGGGAATATTTCGCATGTGTAGGCTACAACTCATACAATAAATGTAACACATTTACACCCCCCCCCCCCCCTTCTCTGTCTCTATCTCTCTCTCTCTCTCTCTCTCTCTCTCTCTCTCTTTCTCTCTCTCTCTCTCTCTCACGCGCGCACACACATGCACGCGCGCGCACTCACGCACGCACGCGTGAACGATAACAATGTATAAACGGGACTATCTTCCCAGACTGGACTAAATAAGTACCATACTCTTTAATAACAATCTTAATTCCTCACTTTTCCCAAACAGAGCACACAGGACGAGTCCAAGTGTGTGCTTTCCCAAGAGGGGGGAATAGGCTTTCATAACGCAAACACAATGCCATACCACTTCTCAAGATGTTTGCTTTTCTGTTTCTATTCTTCTGTCATGCAATCAAGCAAATAAAAATGACTACATCTATTGTATTGTGACTAAAGTACAACAAAAACGCAAGTTATCAAGGCCCCCGTTTAGTTTTCAAGTATCCATCCCCCCCTTTCCATTTCACATAAGCGGGGCCTCGTTTGTAGCGCCCGAGGCGACCGATGGCTGATGACGTCACTCAGTGGAAATTTCCACGCCGCCGGCCGTTCACCCAGCACGCGCAAATGGCAATGTCGCTTTTTTCCTTAGTTACTCCCACATTTTTAAAGATTACGCCAAAACCGCTAAACACAGAAGCATGAAATTTTAAGGGAATAAAGAAAAATGGTGTACAACGTATCAGTCAGTTTGACAAATCACAGCTCCGAAAAACCTTCAAAGCGCACCACATCAACCACTTTCGCAAACGTTTTCGACTGCTTCTAGGATGGGTACAATGTTGTCAAACTGCATACTACGAGATTGACCTCTTTTCTGATTGGCTGCCAAGTTTCATTCATATCCATTCACGAGAAGCGGCGTGAGAGCGAGTTGAAGACAACAACCTTTGCGTTAGTGCGTCCCACGAAACACCCCCGTGGCGGGGGCCAAAAATCGGCAGAACAAAATGCGCTCGGTGGGCATTGCTACTTCTTCTTTCCTGTCAAACGTCTATAGTCTTTATCTCCCCTCCTTCCTTTATTGTGTTTGTTACTCTCTTGTAACACCTCTAATCTTCGGCACTTATATGACCTTATTGTGTTGCAAGTGCCGTTAAACCCCTACCAAAACTAAAGACACTTTTTAAGATTGTTGTTTTGAATACAGAAAAGTGTTTGATTTTACGGTCAGAGCCAGGGCTTTGTTTTTCTATTCTTGATCCCTTTGATTTTCTGGACTTTGCAAGCTACTCTGTAGGGAAAAGTGGAGAGTTCGAGAAAAAAAATCAGACAGGGAACATGAGAAAATATGCTTCATTTACTTAAGTTGAGAGGGATCATGACACAAGAATGGTGTAAAATTATGACATAAAAGATGTATGGCTAGTGCTATCTAGGCAAGAGAAGGTCTCGAAACACCAAAGTAATAAAGTAGCTCTGTGCAAAGGGGAAAATGGAAGCCATGATTAGCTTCAGCACTTGCAAGCGACAAAGCAACCACATGTTTTGTATCTAATTGTCATGATGAAAAGAAAATTAGGGGATCATTCTCCATTACAGGGGAAAAAAGCAAACACTTCATTTGCTTAACATAAGGGCCTAACGTTTGAAGTTTTTCTTAAAAATGTAAAATTTTCACTTGAAAACATAAAAAGCAGTTGTTTTGTGATGATGCTAAGAAAAGAACCATTATATTACCTCTTCCAGCTCATCCTTTTGGTTAGGTTCAGTTGTACCTTGGCCTTGTAAACACAACAGGTAATTCCATATTCTTATGTAATTCTATTTGTTGGCTGCAGTCTGAGCTATTTTTTACCCCTCCTTCACACTGATCCCAAACCTGAGGTAACTTTTCTCAGCTCCTCTCTTCAACAACAATGTGAGTCTACCTGCCATCAGAGTGGTACAATAGTTCCAGAAGCAGTCACAAGGAGTACTAAAAGTTTAGTTCAAACTGTGCTTTGTTTCTATTTACTCATTTTTGGCAAGTGTTCAAGGCTCCAGCAAAATGGGAAAAGGTTTACATCTCAATGTGAAAAGCTCTTCAAGTTTTCTGTGGTATTGGTTTGCGGTTTATTATTAACACACCCATGACAGAAGTTTTGTCAGGTTCTTTATTTCAGTAGTTTCACTGGTTTGCTTTGCTTTAGGTTTTGAATTTTTTGACAATTTTTGTGTTTAAAAAATTATTTTTTTTTTGGGGGGGGGGGGGGGGGGGGGGGGGGGGGTTGCCCCAACACAGCTGAAATTGAATTTCTTAGATTACATTTTTTATGTATAATACATATTGACTTTATGATATTGCTACAAGAAATGCTAAAACATTCATGTCCTGTTTATTTGTATTTCAGGGCCTTTCACAGATGTTGTCACAGCAGATTTGAAACTGTCAAACCCCACAGATCGACGAATATGTTTCAAAGTTAAAACGACTGCCCCAAAGCGATATTGTGTACGTCCCAATAGTGGCATTCTTGAACCAAAAACATCCATAGCTGTAGCAGGTAAGTGGCCTTGTTTGATTGTGCAACAGAGCTGTTAGTTGTACACATGTTCTGTTAACACTTACCAGACTTATATTATGAAGAGAATAGCAGTGGGAAAAGGGTGCAGTTGTTATAACTCATGGGTGCAACTGCAAAGCAGTGCATAATAAGTTTATGGAATGACTGAATGCAGTGTGCGTGCATCCTTCTCTCGTCTCTTGCTTATCTCCTCACAACACCTACAAGGGCCAAAAATTAAAATCACTACAATGAGTACTGGAGCTCAGTACACCCTCGCACCAAGAGCTTCCTTTTTTTAAGTCTTGAGATTCTTATACAAATTGCAGCCGGATGAATTGCAACTGTACAGTCTGAATATCTGAATTCTAAATGAGCTAATTTGTTTTTATTGTTCAATTTTACTTTTTTATGTTTTGAGGACTATATATTTCTTGTTGCTTTACAGTGATGCTTCAGCCTTTCAACTATGATCCGAATGAAAAGAACAAGCATAAATTTATGGTGCAATCCATGTATGCACCTGACCATGTTGTGGAAAGTCAAGAACTGTTGGTATGTGCTAATTAATCAAGTTTGTGTATGATTTTGTACCATGCTCACCCATATTTGCCAACATTTCAACTCTATCGCACCATCCATTTCACCATATTTACTTTTAAAATTTGCACAAGCACTTTTTCAGGGTCACTTTTGACCAATAAATTGAAAAACTCAAAGAAAGAAGAACTTTACTTTCACTATATGGCATCGATGTCACTCAATTCTAATCAAACATTATTCCTAGACCTAACAGAAATGCATACTATGTCTGGCGTTAGGCAATTAAAATGCTGTGCAGCACCTCTTAATAGATTTATCTCAAGATGTTAAAATACCTAAAGAGTGATCCAGTGTTAAAAAGATGCTTTTAAAAAACTGTGCTTAATTTGATACGCTGATTGCGATTATAAGGAAATCAGATTGTAGCTGCAGCAGCTGTTTTTTAAATTTTGGTTGCAAAGTTTAACCAGCGTTGTGGCAAATTCCAACAGGGCTTTCAGACTTCTGCAGATCCGCGAATTTCCGGGGTTCGCGGTTCGGAGAAAGTCCGGGGCTGAGATCAGCGGCCGCGGAATTGCCGAGCATCGAGCGGTCATGTTTCCATCACGCTTCGCGTCTGCACGGGTTTCATAATTATCTTCTGCGAGAAAAAATGAGAAAATTTGGAGAACATAATAATAGAGCGATGTATGCCAGTTTGGCACTAACCACCCACCTTTACTTCCTGTTCATAACTACTACTTACTTTGCCTTTCCGGTTTTTATCTAAATCGGTTGACTTTCACAATTTATGCGAATACATGTATCTGGCAACATTTTCTTTTCCCAATCATCCGGTCTGTGTTGGAAGGAAAGAGAGAACAACAAAGAAGCCTGGAAGATGGCGTATCACGTTCTCTCAAAGAGTGAAATGTTTGTAGTTCTACTTGTGCTTTTATTTGCGTCTATCGCGATCCTCCGACAAAGTTCAGGGGTTGGGAAAATTTTTCACTGGGAGCCCTGTTTCAAAGGGATTCTGTATCTCAGCTTGTTTCTCCCAAATAATCTGACATAGATCGTGTTCAATGGCTTTTAAAGCCCTTCTCTCCCCTCAAACCCTCAAAATTGGGGGTATGGGGAGGTAACTGATGACAAAAAGATATTGCAGGCAGGTCACTGGACGCGCAGAGCCTCTGACATCATCTTTTTCTCAGTCGCGTTACCGATACAGTTACCAGTACCGCTATGTGCGGGACTTGACAGCCTGTGTTGGTAAAGTACCGGGCCTAGTTTCGCAGGTACCACCCAGCGCTTGTATCCTGGACCCTTCAGGTTAAAAAAAAACCAACAAATTATTTCAGGATTTTCAATCTCAGGGCTTTTGACAAATTTACCCAATAATATGGGAATGGTTCATGTGTTAAGTGTTTTTATTTCCTTAGTCCGTTTCAAGTGGTTTTTGGTGTATGCAACACATTTGATGCTATCTTGACAGGATGTATGCTTTTACTTTTTTTTGTGTGTGTGTGTGTATTTTGTTTGATGTGATAAAGGCAGAGATTTTTTTCTTTCTTGTTGGTTTAGGTCTTGTTGTGGTTTCAAGTGTTGCTGGAACCTTTCCTGATGAATTGTAGTAATCATCATGCTCAAGGCTTCCTTGTGGGTGGTTGGCGGGTGCTGTGGTGTGGTCTGCTCCTTCTTTCCTATCAAACATCTATCGTCTTTATCTCCGCTCCTTTTTTGTGTTGGTTACTCTCTTGTAACACCTCTAATCTTCAGCACTTATATGACCTAATTGTGTTGCAAGTGCCGTAAAAATCTTACTAAGACTTAAAAAAACAGATTCCTTCTTTTTTAGGCCTTCACTGTATCATCATTACTATTACCAATGAAGTCTGTGCATGTCACTTTTCCATTATTTAGCAGAGAATGTCTTTGACTTATATCCCTTCTGCATTGCATAGCAGGAGTGAAAGGAAGTACTCATTGATATAAAATGATATTTGATTCGTGTAAATATTTAAAGATTACATGTTCAAACTTCTTCATCTTATTCGCATCTATTATATCACCGACTATCTTATACCCCTCGGGGCGGTGCTACTGACTGAAGTGTCTTTAGACCATTTTCAAAGGGGGGACATTAACATGTTTTTATGCTCAGTAGAATTGTAAATGAGCTGATTCATCAATGTCATGCTCATAACTGTGCCTGAACTGCATAGTGGGAACTGCTGCTTTTTCTTTCCTAATCCTAACTATCGTCATTTGTGAGCGTGCCTGGTGAAAGGTACCAAATGACGCATTTTGAAGAATCCCGGGTTGTTTTTTTGTTGTTTTTGCAATTTCATGTTCAGAGATCATTTCTGAACAATATACTTTTTTTGAATTTTAAAGATATCTTCTGTAGTTTTTTAGATATAGGTGATCTTGTAAGGCAGGGTACGGAAACAAAAGTTTTGAGAAAAACGGCTTTATTGTGTGGCAAGTGCCGTAAAACTCTTACTAAGACTTTAAAAAAACATGAAATACACTGTTCCCCTTTGTTTCTGCTTCAATTAGATAAGATCTACGCTTCAAGATGACCTGACAACTCATTCGCTACTCACAAACCAACTTTAAAAAGCAGCTAAGATAAAATCTAAAAGAACAGCTTCAAAGTGTTTGTATTGTCTTCAAAACAAATTCACCATTACCTTGAGCAAGAATTTTCAAGAAATTAGATCTAGGTTTGCGCAGGGAAGAAAAAGGGGATACAAGTTTGCTCTCCCAAAAAACCCAGAAAGGATGTGGTTTCACAAAGCTTTGCTTTGTTTACATGTTCTAGATATTCATGCGCACTACCCGGGTGCCATTAGAGAGGGGAAAAAATGACCAAAATTTTACTATGCATTGTGATTGGGTCGATTTTATGAATGGATTAGAGGAACCATCTGCAGTGCAGTGCTTACTCGGAAAATCAATTTTGAAATATTAAAAGGCTAAAGAATCTATTTTTAAAGGAACTTAGTTTTTGTTTAAAAATTCTACTTTTGATGTTTGAAGCCTGATATCTCGGTTCGAACAAATGTGTCTTTTGGTACCTTTCAATAGACAAGTTCACCTTTTTTCCTCTACTTCTTTTGTATGTTTGTCACTCTCTTGTGACCCGCTATTTCTAAGCAGCCTTCATGCTGTTGAGGCTATAGAGGTGAGCAGAGTAAGCCTTATTTCCCATTTGGACTTCTCAGTTGACATTCACCCCTTGGCGCTCATATGACCTTACGCAGTTGTGAGCACCGTAAAACATTACTAAAAACAACTTCCATCTTGTGTTTCTCATGTATTTCCTTGTTTTTTGTGTCTTCAGTGGAAGGATGCCCCTCCAGAGAGTCTCATGGATACCAAACTGAGGTGTGTCTTTGAAATGCCTGATGGATCACATCAAGCGCCTGCTTCAGATGCTAGCAGAGCGACGGATGCTGGGGCGCACTTTGTAAGTTATTGGTTGCTTAACTGGACAAGTACCACCTTCATAGTGCCCTGGGTCTTGTTTGTTCTCTCGTAAATGTTTTTTTTATTTTACGCATGTTGATGAATCTGTTATGTCTTTTTTTTTTTTTTTCATTATTCTCAGCATGCAGGGTAGATGTGATTGGATTACATTAGTATCTATAGAGATCTGATTAGTAAATTGCACTTTTGATTTCCAGGTGCATACTTTAGAGTTTGGCAGACTTGATCGTGCAAACTGGGGGAGGAACAAATTCCTTGAACTGGGATCTTGGTCCTGATTTTTTTAACAACATATTCTTTAGATGTATTTCTCTCAAAATTCATTACTCATAAAATGTAAATAGCTTATATTGAAGCAGGTTCTTACCAAGAACCGTGGCGTCGGTGGCCTAGTGGTTAGGCTCTCGGATTCGTAACCGTAAGGTCGTGGGTTCGAATCCCGTCAGGGGCCCGACGTTGTGTCCTTGGGAAAGGCACTTTGCACAAATTTTCCTCACTTCACCCAGGTGGAAATGGGTACCCGGCTATAGACAGTGAAAGATCTTGTCAGTTTGATAGTGTTTGAGCGCGTGAAATCCGCAGCTTGCACTGTATGCTTCCTCGGAAGCTGAGAATGTTTCTGAGTGTTGTCAGAGGGTCTGCTGGGGTAATAATAGTTGTAAAGCGCATAGAGCATGCTCTTGAGCATGGATATGCGCTATATAAATGCAATCATTATTATTATTATTATTATAATCAAATAGCGTGGGTGCCAGTGATACAGCTGAACTTCTTTTATAAACTCACTGCAGGTTTATAATGCAGAACCCACTGTCAGACCTAGCACTCATCAGGATTTAGTTGGGATATCCGGATTTTTTGCCCCAAATCTCAAGCATCCCAATTTTCCAGATTTCGATCCCGTTTATCCAGATTTTTTGTTCTGCTGTTGTGCTGGATTTTTCTAAAAACTTACTCTGCCTTCTTCTTTATCTCGGGAGCACCCTTAGAACTTTTTGTCAATAAGAACTCAGAGCTTTATTTTTCTTAATATTGATGTCGGATTTAGTAGTTGACTCGCCCCAAGTTGTGTTAGATCTTTGCCCGTACTCAGAATTCTCCGATGATGGCCTGATAATTGTTACAATTGCAACGTACAAATAATCGATAATACTCGTAGTTCTGCTGTTACTTTCAAAACAAGCCCGTCTGAGGTCTGGTAACCACGCGTTTACATCAAACACTTGGACGAGCAATAGTCGTTCTAGCGCTTACACAACTGACATGCGCTGACTAAACTAAGACTCGGCCGTTGTCTTGCTTTGGTCTGAACGCACATGAGGGATAAGACATTTTTAGGTACATTTGCTCGGTCAGCCTCATAGAGACAAATTTTTCAGGAGAAACAAAAAACTTTTACTGCTTTATGCTCGAACCTGTGAATCTTAAATTCAGATATATGATGTAGGACGATGATCTCTAACTTTTGGGGAAAAAAAGCTTTCTTCCATAAGTTACTGGACAAAGGCGGTTTAGACCTACCAAAATCTGCGTGATTCAACCGTCTAAGTGACAGTATGACGGCGTCTAGGCGTTTGTTTCACGTTAATCAGCGCCCCTCAACGAGTGCCAAGGCTTGGGCGCTTGAGTAAACGATAAAAGCAAAACATATTTTTAAGAGTAATTATAGAGTTACAGTATCTATTTCAGTTATATGGTTGGGTCTTCTGGGGCAGGACTGTTTTTGGCCTCTTGGAGTTGGTAAAAAAGGCCATTCATCTTAATGTTCAACTTGTACTGGATGTTTTTGTTCAGTGTGTATCAAAGGCAACTAACGTTTGTGACAACAGGGTCATTTTTGTTTCAGCCAAGTCTGATGGTGAAGAAATCGAACATTTAGGGGGGGGGGGGGGTGTTGTCTTGCTTTCTTAAAGATTATCCTCGAGCACATAGCCCGTACCATTTTTAAGGAACCTTTTGATTGCACTGTGTGTGCTGCCCACTTCCGTTTGCGTAAGTTCTCTTTAAAGATATTTGTGTTCAACAGTTATGTTTTATCTGGTACAAGATAGCATTGTGGTCTGATCAGTACAGTCATCACTGTATATGTGTCACAACGCAGTGGAATCAGGCGCTCGTCAATTTTTGGGCATTAGAAGTTATTGGTATCATCTTAAAGCCTGTCCATTTGCTTTGCTTCTGACGGAAAAAATATTCATTTATCTTGGATAGAAGTAAGTCTAGATATTGACAATTGAAGGAGGTGGGGGTTGCCTGGTTTGAGAGGTAAAATTTGTGAGAAAATGGCCGCCTAAGTTGCATTATTTCCTTAGCGTGTGAGAGGATGGAAACTGAAAATGTATTTCTATTATGCCTTGTAGCAACGTTTTTCAGTAAAATCGACACAAAAATGTGTTCTTTAAGGGCTAGTGGGGCACCTAGAAATCATGTTAAATGATATGGAGTCAAATTATGCAAATTGGCGTTATTACATATTATAGTACCTGAACATTTCCTGAACAATATCCACAAACATATGTAAGCCTTGCTACACCCTAAAGCTGTCTTTTTTGTCCAGGTGTTTCTGCGAAAGCACCTGTTTTCTAGTCTGTTTTTACCTCTATCGGCTGTTTTCTCACAATTCTATTTTTCCACACATTATCCCATTTCAATGTAACTTTCACAGGATACCAACAACACCTAGTTCTCAATTTTGCGTTTTTTAATTTTTTTAATTAATGTATTAGTTTTTTATTTATGGGCTTACAAAGCATGAATTTTCCTCTTTTTTTTTGCAACTACCCAATTGTAAGTGTCATAACATAAAAACTAAAGAATATATAAAAAATTCAGCAAGCCAAATTTAAGAACTACATATTAACTGTTGGCATGCCAAATGAGAAGTGAATCAGTTAATAAGGGAATAAAATGGGATTGAAAAAGGTATACGAAATCCAATATGGCCACCGATTCCACTGCAACCGATTCGCAATATACTTTTTGAACCATTGATTTCAAATCCCCAATAACACACGATGTCCCACAGCAAATATGGGCACTCTTGGCCTTGTTAGCCAAAATAGACCTCAGGTCTTCGCACTATATGAGTTGGAATTCAGGATGTATATTTTAAAGTTCTGTATTGTTACATCCACTCTTAGATTTTAAGGAAATTTGGCAGTTATGTTAGTAATTGAGTGTAGTATCTGAAAATGTATGTGGTAAGGAATTACACCAATTGCATCATGTAGATTTTTAAGGTGTATTACACCCTCCAACTTGACCCTGATTGCCACGCCCACATTGTTCACTTGAATTTACAGATCCATAGGTACTGCACGAATTCCAGTACCGGTTCGTTCACCATGATCTGAATCACTATTAGATGAATCTAATTCTTGTTCGTTATCATCCTCAACGACATTTACTCCACTTGATTCCAGGTCACTTTCATCAAATTAGTCTAATTCCTCCTCACTACCCAGCGCCATTTCTTGAAATACTTCTTCGGTCGTGAGCGTGCTTTTTCAAGACATTGATTTTGGAGCTTTTACACCCGTCAAAAACCAAGAAACCACTGTTGATTGGAAAATTAAAATATTCAGACAGAGCTAGCATCGCCGTATTTGGGTAGTTACAAGCAGAACTAGCTGTTTGGCGTTACCGTATAGCTATTCAGAGTTTACTCGTCGCCTGGCCTAGCCCTCGTTAAAAGTATACTTGTAGCCTGGGTAAAAAGAGTTATTTAAAGGCCAGTCAGGATTTATGGTGGCATAATTTTCAGACTGTTACTTGACATTTAGTCGAATTGTTATTTTGATTTCACACTCTCTGTATACACACTCTTATGATTTTGATTTCTGACCAGTTTATAGTGCTGCTTTTTAAACAATACTACTGTAGCATGTTATATACATTTTTACCCTCAGATTGTGGAAGGGTTTTTTAATAGTTGATTTTATTAATCAAGCAGTGAACTTGACTTTGTGCTTTTAGGTTATTGGATGAGGTCTGCTATGAATTAGTGCTCAGAGAATGTGTGGATGTTTGTTTTGGTTTGAGTTTAATTATGTACCTGATTTTCACCTCCTTTACCTTTCCTACCAGACTTCTGCCTTGGTAAGGCATGACTTCTTTTAAGTTTCTTTGTTGTGATGTGAAGTCTTGTTACTAATGATAGCTGTTGTGTGTTGCCACCTAACCCAAAGAAAATCTGTAGTTGTTCCCGTTGCTAATAAGCGTAGACCTTGTAGTCATGTTGTTAGGGTGGTCATCCATCATTTTGACAGTTCAGTTCAAGAAACTTGTATGCCACATTTTTCTTTTTAAAAATCAACTTTTTTTTGCTTTTCTGTAGCTGGAGATCTTTCTTAATCGCATATATTTTCAATTAGAGGTTCGGGCTGTAATAACTTATTTGCAGTCCGACCCTCACATTGAAAAGATGTATATGCAGAAAGATCTGTGGCCACGGGAAAGCAAAAGAGTATATTTGACATTGAGGAAAATGTGGCATACAGGTTTTTTAAACCTAAAAGTTGATTTAAAAGTTAAGTGAAGTTTACTCTTCAGAGTTAGACATGAGTCTCCTCTTGCTGATAACCATAGACCTCATGGTCTTGTTGTAAGGTCTCATCTTGCTAATAACCATAGACCTTTTGTAATTGAAAACTTAAGTGATGAAGTACTCTCCCTTTGCAGTCATCTCTTAGCGTAATCTTTTTTAAAATTCATTTAAAGCATGCTGCGTGTTCTAGGCTGTCAACATTGTGTCAAACCCCCCCCCCAGGGCAGTGCTACTGACTGAAGTGTCTTTATGCCATTCCCAAAGGGGGGACATTAACCTGTTCTTATGCACAGTACAATTGTAAATGGGCTGGTTCATCGATGTCATGCTCATAACTGTGCCTGAACTGCAACAGGGAACTGTTACTTTTTCACTTCTTTTATGTGTTTGTCACTCTTGTGACCCACTATTTCTGGGTAGTCGAAGCAGACTTTGTGCTGTTGAAGCAAGAGAGTTGAGCAGAGTTAGTCTGATTCCCTGTAAGGACTTCTCTGTTGACATCCACCCCTTGGCGCTCATATGACCGTATGCAGCTGCGAGCGATGTAAAACCTCTACTAAAACTAAAAACAACATTGTGTGTATCTGTCAACTTTTCGTTCTTGCTATGAAGATTAAGAATGCTTTAGGGCTTTTAAGGATTAAAAAATTTTCCAGCTGTTGTTTTGATGTTTATCATCTTCTCTTGTTGGATGGGGTTCCTTTTAAGACAACATTTATCTAAAGAATGCTTTTGTGAAAATACCAACACAGTGCATTTTTTATTAAAACATTAAGTCTGTTTTAATTTTTAAGCTACTCTTTTCCTGTAGTCGCTTGGCATGTGTGAATTCTTCCCCCTGCTTTTTCTTATTTATTTTTTTCAAAGTAGGTTGCTCAAATCTAAGAATTTCTTCTATTTTTGATGGTCAAAGGGTTAGCAGGTCATATTAATTGTGACTTGACTGGTTGGTAAATGAAAATAATAGTTTTTGAATGTTTGCAATACAGATATTCATGTGTATGGACAGACAGTCGTTTTTCAAGTCTTGCCTGGCATCAGGACAGCTGAGTCCATATTGCTGTCTTGCTCTTGTAACACCCGTCTTCCATTCCAAATATGAGTTTTTCAATTTAAAGATTTATATGATGGAGGAGATAGAGTATAGAATTAGTTGTGCTGAAGGCAAAAGCTACAGGTAGTTCTTTCTACCTTTTCTGCAAATGATATCATCGTCTCTCCCCCCCCCCACACCACACACCACACACACACACACACACACACACAGGGAAATATTTACGTTGGGAGGAATGGGAAAAGTTTTACAAATAGTTGTTTTTTTTTTTCGGTTTCAACATTTTAAAAAAGCAAACCCTGAGGACTTCACTGTTTCTAGATAAGTTTTATGGATTGGTTGATTTTGCATGTTTTCCAATAATAAACTTTGTTTTTGTCATGTCTCAGAAATTTTGATAAAACAGACCTTTCGCAGCTTTGAACACACCCCCTAAGCAGCTAACTTTTTTTTTCTTCAGTTAAACTGTTTTCCTTTTTATTGGAGTTTTCATAGAGATTTGTCTTTTGTTGTATTTTTTTAAAGAACAGATACTTTAATTTTCAGAACTTTCTGTGTTGTCAGCTATGTTTTTTGTCTGTTTTAGACAAATAAATATAGTAGTCTCCACCTAAGATCTCACTGCTTATGATCCAGGTTCACTTTACAAAAGTCTATCCTAAGATCTAAGATCCAGCTCTAAAGGACTACACTTGGTTAAGGTCCAGCATTTCATATTATGCTTTACAGAAGAAAAATGCAGAGGTGAATCAAGGGGAGAAGCAATGGCATTCCATTCACCTTTTCTTTGCTCCCAAACCCTGGGTTCTTGGGCAGAGACTACTCATATATTATATATATATTAATATTCTTCTAGCTTTGCTTATTAGGAGTAGCTTCTGAGTTTGTCTTGTACAGTGTTGATGTAGGCCTAACTGTTTTTCAAATTTTTTGCTCTTTAAAAAAAGCCCCACCATTTTAACTTCACTGTACTTCTCAAGTGCCTGTCTTCCAGACCATATACAATGTGTATTCTGAATTTGGAGCCTTTAAATATCTTTTCCATTTGTTCTTGGATCTTTCTATTACATGTTCTAGTGAAATCATCAGATCACTTTCTCTTAACCTTTTCTCAAAACTTAGAAAATATGTTTGTTCTTTGTCCCTTGTAGGTCTGAGGTAAAAGATAGGGATAGTAGTCCTTCTTTGCTGAGCCTTATTTTCCCTGAAACAGTCCTCTGGTATTTACACATTGAATAAGTAATGTACCATAACAAGATCCCCAAATGATTTATAGTATTCCTTACTATTACATCAAGAAATATCATGAGACTAAAGTGAATTCAGGCATGACTGGGGAAAGACTGCAATGTGAAAAGATCTGTCTTTGGGAATTTCCATAATATGCTGCACTGGCGCCAGTTGATCTAGTGAAAGGAACACCATAGCCCTCTTTGTATATTTTTACCTTTTTCCTGTAGTGAGGGTTTATAAGTTGCAGGCTTCTGGTTTGTTTCTAGGTGGAATTGTTCTCTGAAGTAGACAAGTTGCCTTAGTCCATTAAGATTATTTTATTTTTGTATTGCAGTATTGTCCATCTTTTCTATTACTAGCAAATTCATGAGGGGTAACGGACTGTTGATGCAGATTTTGAACCAGTTAGAATGAAGTCTACTCGGAAGAAAATCAAGAAGAATGCTAAGAAAAAGGGAAAGTATCCATACAAATCTGGTGCTAAGTCAAAGTCAAAGCACATTAGCAAAAAGTACTCTCCTGTTTTAGTAAAGAAACAAGTCGGTCCTCTTCCTGCACAAGCTCCTGCCCCTGCTCCATTACCTGACCGTATGAAAGTGAAACCAGTGTGCAAGGACAATGTTATAGCTATCAAAATTGGTCAGACTATCATCTCTTGTGTGGGAGACCTTTTACAAGACAGGAAGGCCAGCTTTGTCTCCCTGTTCTCATCCCCTTCAGCCAGAACTTTAATTGAAGAGCTTGAGAATCAGAAACGAGCTTGGGATCTTAGATCAAAGAAAACAACAAAAAGCTGTGGCTCTGGTGCAGACCTGGGACGTAAGTCCACATTAGGTCGAATTGTTGACTTTTTCAAGTCTGAGGTAAAAGACAGGAGTACTAGTCCTCCTTTACAGAGTCTGGACCGTCAGGCAGAAGAGTTGGCTGTGCAATTTTCCTCCAGTCACAATTCTTCTATTGGTTCTAGTAGCCATGCTGCCCATATCTTCGCTTCCAATAAGACCACTAGGCCTCAAAAGAAAGACACTCTGCAAAAGTCCCTTTATGAGCTCTTGACTGAGGGGAAAGATGAAAACCCTTTGTTGTGGGACTTTGAGAATATAAGTCCAGTTCCATCAACATCAAATGTACAATATTTTGACTCCTTGTGGCGTTCTCTTCATGAACTCAGAGAGGTAATATGGCAGAGTTTTCCTGAAAACATCTCAGGGTTTTTTTTAATCAACTCCCTGAATTTAAAGAGAAAAAAAATTCCGAACTAACACATTAACAACTATGTACTATCTGGGTTTCCCGTTTGATGAACGGACTCAAAAGAATCGACCATCAAGTCATTGTGGGTCAGTACTGGCACGCACTCTTTGTGAACGGAAGCCTCATTTGTTTACCATGGCGTATTAGAAGACGCACTTTCCCAAGATTGGACCTAATGAAAAACTGAAAATTAAACTACAGTGACTTCAGACTCCTCAGTAAAACTGTGCAACTTTTAAATGATTCTGAATCGCCGTTAATTTGTTCAAATTTGAAAGTTTAGTGGTTCCGAAATTTTAGGTGGCCAAAGTGACGAACTTTCACAAATATAATTATTTGTATAGATAATTGTTAAAGTTGGTTGAAGTCTAATTGTTGTTTGTGCCATTTCAAGGAAAAGTTGTTCATTAGTGTAGAGACCGGTTTGCATCAGGTTTTAAAAAAGAATTTTTTTGGGGGGCGGTGGGTCCTTTTTTCCCCCCAAGCATTCTATATCAACTTCTTTTATGTGTGTTCTGTTTTTATCTCAAAAGGGATATCTATTAAAACATGTGTTTTTGAGAACTAACATAGTATTGTGATCACTTTTATTCTTTGAGTTGCCATTGATTCAATTTGTTTTTATCTGCAGTCTGAGAGTGCCCTGGAGGACCCAACAGTAGCATCAAGGAAGACTGAAACACAGTCTCCAAAGGTGGGCATTTTACATTATGTGTGCATTTGTTTAAAGTCTGCATAGACGTTGGGGGGTGTTGTTATACATCCATTTCTTTTTCATATCCTTCTTTAACCCCTACCTGTAAAGTTGGCTTGTTATTCTATTCCTAGCTTAATGCCATTTTTTCTTCTCCAGCAAATTTGACAAGTAGATATTATATTTATCTCTATGATGTCTGTCCAACTTTGAAAATCAATTTTCACATGCTCATGTCTGGTTATTTTAAATTGTTTCTCAGAAAGGTTCTGTGTGTATTACTACTGTACCTTTTAATTATTGACTAAGACCCACATTGACTGTTTCAGGTCACACAAAAAGATTGTTTGAACAAAAGATGATGAATTTACGATTGTAAAGTGTATATGCTTGAAGGCCCTTTTGCTGATCCGAAATGAGAATAGAATTGCTGAGAGGTTCCTGCCTTTGTTTCTTTTGTCATTAAGATCTCTTTAATGAATATTGTTATATCTATTCATAATTTCAGGAGAATATAATATGAAAATTACTTACCAAATGATGAATCGTGGCGATTTCCATTTTTCTGTTTGGCAGAGGGTTGGTGCAGTAGGCAGTGCTGGCGAGGATGTGAAGAAATTGCAGCATGAACTCAAGAAAGCCCAGTCCGAAATTACATCCCTCAAGGGGGAGAACAGTCAACTGAAGGTAAACTTTTGTCTCCATACAGTGGTCTCAGACTAATAATAGGCACTTCAGGTGACAAGAAAAGCATGCTCTTGTGCAAACATGCAATAAAGCAGATGCCAAGTCATAGTTTACTCTATCCTTAACTCGACACCCATACCCACATCTGTAGCCCACTGTGCGGTACATCATTGATTGATGTGAACCTTGCATTTGATGTCCTGCTATGGGGTGCGTCATTGAGTGTAGCTCGCCCCAAGACGTGAAATTATCCTACGCCACGTGGTCATCATAATGATAGTACAGCCCTCTCACACAGTCCTCGTTGGACAATTCTGCCTCACATCTTGTCCCTTTACTGTGAAACTTGGATAACCAGAAGGCACCAGGCTCAGAATTTAGTGATAGCTCAAACAATATGCCATTGCCTGATTGAACCCCTGTATTATCCTTGTATTGGCAGCGTGGTATTCTTGAACACCCTCGCGGACAGGTTAAACATTCCATCCCCAAAAACGTGATCAAATTTTTTTCTCGCAATTGTCTCATATTCAAATCGTCCCATAATGGAAAACAGCGCACATATCCTCATTGGAAGTTTCAGATTACATGAGCCCAACGTGCTCGTCCCCGCTCAACGTAATACACTGTTGGTTTTGAATCAAGGATGTAAATGTTTCTGATTTCCTCTGATTTCCGATTTTTAAACCCTTCCTGCTTTTTTTTTTTTGTAAGCATTTTATGCAGGGTGACTGCCAGGCCCGGGGAATTTGAAAAAAAATCGCCGAGACCCAGGAATTACCCGGGAATTTGAGGAAATTTGTAAATTGACCCGGGAAAGTTCATAAAAGCTCTCGAACATTTGTAAACCAAATCGAATAACGTCCTTGGGTTCATTTTTGCCGGCGGTGATTGTGATATTCAGTCGGCTTTTCCCGGTCTGAGAGTACTTTTTACGCGAACAGGTGGCTATGGCGGCAGGGGAAAGTGTATATGTGATACCGAAGCTCGATCTACTTTCGCTTTCGTTGCGACTTAGAAATTTGCAGGTAGCAATCTGATTAACGCAACATTTGTAACATGCAGGTTGTGCGTTACAAACACTGTGTTGTCATGAAAATAAAATCAATATTTGTCCTGTGCTGTCATTTGCGCAAAAATAAAAGAAAGGAAAGAAAGTTATACAAGCGTCTTGTTGGGCTTCCCATCGTGACCAGTCAGTGAACCTGTGCGTTCCCATCACATTGTGAGTACCGGTGATCTTTGGGGTCTCCAAAGTTCATTCGAAGTTTGAGCGCTGCAAAGTATAGGGCTCCGGAATGAGAGGATTATTGATTTTTTAAAAAGATATGGATGACAAAAAATGAACTTTGAAGCTAATTTTAGCATTTAGAATTTTGATTACCACTAGAGCTCTCTGCAAAGCGCGTATTGGTGTAGGCTTTTTGTGGAATCGCGATCCGTCATACTCATACCTTTACCTTGTAAGCCTTGCTTTTTAATCAAAGTGTTCGCGTTTCATTGAATGGGTGATTGTACCTTTTTTCATATTGTCCTTGTTTTTTTTAAAGAGAGGCGTGACACCCTAGATCTAGATCTAAATAAGAAACACGTAAAAATTACTACAGGCTGTAGTCCATGGGCACGTAGGTCTAGAGTGATTAAGATCTAGGCTAGATTCTTGATCTAGATCTAGCTCTAGAATCTAGAGGTTGGCGAATGACCGAAGGGCGACTCTTGACTATGCTACTTGCCTGTGAATTGGCGGAGACACACTATTAATACTATCATGCAACTTGATTCATATTATCATATCAACAGTAGATCTTCTGAAGCTTCTGTGCTTGTTTCAATGGCATCTATTTCAGTGCACCTGTACAATTGCGGTCCTGTTTAGTGTTTACATGACGGCCATTGTCATGTGGGAGTGAATCTAGATTCTAGATCAAGATCTAGATTCGAGACCTATAGGTCCCAAGATCTATATCTCAAGATTCTAGATAGCTAAGATAATCTATCTCTAACCTAGATCTAGATATCTAGATAAGTGTTGATGCTAGCATCAATATTTAATAGTAAAGCACCTAATAATTCTTACTTCTTGCTGATTTCGATGATCTGTGAAGAGTTTCAGTCGAAAATAAACACGAAGCGAGGCGTCACATGTCCACCATTTTTACAACACTGTTGAATAGCACGTCTGACGCATCGCGCAGCTCTGCTGACAGCAGACAGACGACACAGCGACGCTGCTCAGGCGCACGATTATCGTGTATACATCCATTTGCACGGTGCAAGCTGGCCGAGCTACAGGTCAGACCTACAGAGCCACTCTGGGACCGGCCTAAGACCTATTATACCGCAGGCCCCTCCCACTTTTGCAGCTGCCCTTATAAATCACTGGACTGGCGATGGGCCTAGTTTACATTGGTTACAATGCAAGGCTACTGATCATCTCGGGCGGTATGTCTAGCCTAGTCCTACTTGAATTCATTTATTTTAGCCCAGAGAGAAAGAGAGTGAGTATTAATGAATGAATAAATGTGTATCTAGATCTTCTCTAGATCTAATCTAGATTTTGTTGTGCACCCAGCCAAGAGTGTGCAGTTCAGAAAGTAGATCTAGCTCTAGTGGTTGGCAAATGACCGAAGGGCGACTCTTGACTAGGTTACTTGCCTGTGAATTGACGGAGACACACTATCATCATGCAACTTGATTCATATCAACAGTAGATCTACTTAAGCTTCTGTGCTTGTTTCAATGTCTTCTTTTTCGGTCCACCTGTACAATTGCAGTACCTTTTAATGTTTACATGTCGGCCATTGTTCCGCTTGAGATGGGGACTGTCCGTTGACAGGGTCAACTTAAGTTCATATGCACACTGGTTGAAACATCTTTTGGGACTTGTCACGGGGGGAGGGGGGTTGAGGTGTAGACACTTGGTCTTTGACGAGGAGTAGGGGGGCCTACTTGACGTGATACTTTAGGATTTAGAAAAGATGACAACACACAAACAGATACACACACAGGGATATCCATTAGACCTGCATGTTTGCCGACAATCGTCTGAAATCCGACAATCGCGACCCGACCCGCGAACCGGCCGATGCTATCGCTAGGCCCGCCTGTATCAGTCAATGTGCGTAGTGCGAGGCCCGGCCGACTGCCAGTGACCCCCTTTTCTCCCGTCGGCTTTGTCGGCACTTTCGTTTTCGTGCCGACCGCCGACGCGCGCACCGCCGACTGCCGACGTCGGCGTTTCCGACATAATTGTCGGAACCTGAGTAGAAATGCGAATACGAAAAAGGACGACAACCTAAATTATTTACTTTCAGTTTCGTGCTCGAGCGGCCATTTTGAATTTCGTTTGTTGACTAATTTAATTGTTCAGATCGTGTGGATTTATTCAAGTCCGACTCTCTTGTTCTAATAGGATCTAGATCTAGATTTATATAGATCATTATAGACCTCAATGGAGGATTCATATTCCAATTCTATTGTGTCAAACCCTATCATAGGTTGTGCTGTAATATTAATATTGGTAAAAATAAGCATTTCATCAGGTGCGTGAATTATTTATTTATTTAGATCTAGAATCTAGACTCAGCTGAGTCCCTCTGTTCGGAATCGGATGCGGATTTCTAGTTCAAGGCCTATTCCTATTCACTTGTTCTACAAGATCTAGATCTAGATTTATTTAGATTACTAGATCTATATGGAGGATTCATATTCCAATTCTATTGTGTTATTGTATCAAACCCTACAGCAATGTAGATGTAAGCCATATAGATCTAGATCTATATGCTCCTTGTTTGTTTTGGAGTGTGGTTTTTTAATTTTAATTTTTTTTTCATTTAGGACTTGTTTTGGCCTTTTTGCATGAGGCCTGTTGCAGGTTCTTTTTGGGGGTGGGGTTAGGGTTAGGTCTCTTCTTTATTGTGTTTGTTGGGGTGGTCGCTCGTTAGTCAGATGTCCTTCCTTATGATACCCACAAAGGCTTTTTTGGGGGGGGAGGGGGGGGGGGGGTTGCGCAAAATTTTCAGACAATCTGGTTGAGGCTCACATGCAGGTCTAATCCATGGATTTATGCAAAACCATGTGAAATTTTTAATCAACTTGGCAGTCACCTTGGAGATTTGTCTTTGATCCCAATTTTTTAAACTAAATCCCAATTTTTGAATTTCATAAGGTGGAAGTTCTCTGTGTGGCTTAATCGCTTTCTTTACTTTTTATTTGCTTTGCAGGGGTTATGTGTCACTGTCTAATTGACAACAGGGCAAATTTTTGTTTTGAAAATGCGACTATAATAGCTTGGTTATTGGAAACGGGGATAGAATTCAGGCCATTTCAAGCGTCTCTCAAATTCTCTAGGCCAGCCTGTTCATTTCACTGAAGCGTTTTTTACCCCCAGGCAGGGCATAAAGTAGTTCCATTTCTGCCTGTCATCAAGTGGACACAATAACCTCTCTGGTAGAACGGGGCATTGAGCATACTTTTTTTTTTTTTGTGTGCATGTCCCACGCTTTTTCAAGTAATTAAGGCTTGACAGGAGTTCATGGGGTTATATATTTACCTAGCGCCTTTTCAATGTCAAAATGATCACTCTTTCAATGTATTCATATTAAAAACTGGATTGTCCCCAGGATGAAGGTATTCGTCTACGCAAAGTGGCCATGACAGACACAGTGTCGCCCACACCATTGAACCCCTCTCCGGCACCAGCTGCTGCTGTGCGCGCCTTCCCACCTGTGGTCTATGTTGTAGCTGCTATCATTTTGGGTCTAATCATTGGCAAGTTCTTACTTTGACCTGCAGGGTGACTTGTCTTTCTCCCTTTTTCTTCCTTGTTTCCTTCGTATGGCTGATTGAAATATAAACTGTAGCAGTGGTCAGATTTGAACCAGGAGCAAAGATGATAGTAAGAATTGCTTGAATCATGTCACTTTTTTTTTGTCCTGCCCTCCCCATGTTTTATAAGTATAAGACTAAAATGTATTGTGCTTGCTTGTTATAAAAAGTATGATTCACTATTGGCAAGTGAATTAGTTATTGAAGAGAAACAGCCGCATGGTTTGTTCACTCAGTTTTGGTAACATTTTTAAGTGTGTGTGTGTGTGTTAAAAAATTTGAGGGCTGTCTGCACTTCTTACTCACTGATTCATTCTCTGTGTGCACGCCCAAGTAGGGGGAGGGGCGACCAGTTTATATGTGTTAATACTTGATCATCGCCCAAGATTCACTTTACAGGAACATTGTAAAAAAAATATATCAGGTAACAAGAAGAGACTCACAATGTTTAGCTTTTCTTAGAGTTAAAAAAAATGTTTTTTAACATAGTCTGCTTGTGATCGTATTTAAGATGTACATGTACATGCATCAGCATGATTAGGAGCTGATATGCCGCACTGTTTACTGTGTTGTATTGATGCATCCTGGAATGGATGAATGAGATGTTAAACTTTGAAAATATAGCCTTGTGTAAAGGCACGGTTGGCATCCAGGAGTAATATAATCCTAGAGATATGTTTGTGTAAGCCTGTTCTAATCATTTTGGGATAGTTGTGTACTTGAGTCTGTGAGCCTGTCTTTTGCGTATTTTTCTTCCAGCTGAAGTGTAGAATGGTCCAAGTCGTTGCATCAGTTCCTGTGCATTTAAAGCTTCTCTGAGAAATTGTCATTTTGTACTATCTTGACCGTCGAGCACTTTATCGCAAGCTGTCTTTGCATCATATCTGAATGGCCAGCTAGACTAACCATTCAGTAGTTTCCCAAACTTTCTGGGGGGGGGGTTTTTTGGTTTCAGGATGTCTTAAAAGTTAAAGAAAGTCTTAGTATGGGGAAGTTCTAGAATTTTAAAAGGACATTTTTGAAGATTGCTGGTAAATATAGATGCAGTTGAAAACTTTTTGGTTTTTCTGGGGGTTTTTTTTTTTTTTGGTCTTCAAAGACTGTTTGGACTCCGTTGGACTGAATACATAGCTATATTGTGAAATGGACACTTGTCGCATCAGGCTGAGAGAAGTAGATGTGTGCCAAGAAGTTGATGTATCTTCAATATAGTGTGTTTGTTCTTTAAGGTGAACCCTACCCTTTTCATGTTTTACTATGCTTCCTGCACTTTTACGTTAATATTGTGTACATATAAATTATTTAATGCGACTGAAATTTTTGTATGCATGTTTGTACATTATGTCCACTATGGATGTATGGTCACTCACAACCACGAATCTTTGTTGATACATTTCAGGTTGAAATATGAGCTACGCTCGCTCACTCCCTCCCTTCCCCCCCTTTCATAGTTTTTGTTGGGTAGTCAAGCAAAAAAGAACCCAAAACAAATCCTCTTCCCTATGATCGTTTCTTCAACAGACGACATATTCTTATGAGACTAAGATAAGAGAGATCCTGTTTTGTTCAATGACAGGTGCTTATATTTTAGTTTTGTCTTCTTCCTCAGTTTCTTATGTTTTCAGTGTAGCTGGGTAAAGTTCATTATCAGCGTCCAGGAATATTATGTTCTGTCATATTACTTTCTTGGTTTTTCTGTGCAATGGTATTACTTCAGAGATGGTGAACTATGCAAATGAATTGTGCTCATAGTTAACTTAAAGGACCATGATATTCCCTTAGCATTTTTCTCTTCTCATTACTATGTCTGTGCTCTCTCCTCTCCACACTTACTCCCCATTCCAGTACTTTTGTCTGAGCTTCAGTTGTTTTGTCCTTTTTTTTCCTGTAGATTTATAAAATTAATAATAAAGTACCAATATAAACAAATGGAGATGGCTCATTCACTTTTTTCCCTCTTCACCGTTCCATTCGAGCGTGCAATTAGATTAAAGGCAAGTCCAAGTCTTGTGGACATTGTGCAATGCAATACAGAAGTGTGTGGGTTTTTGTGTTTTGTTTTGTATTTTTCTGTTTTGTTTTTGTTGATTTTGCTTCTCTTCTCCCGCCTCCCCCGCCCCCCTTCTTTTTAAAGTAAAACTACTGAGATGTGTGAAAGATTTGGTCTAAGTCTAAGCATCTTTGGTATGGTGAGTTTTGTTTTATCTTCTTAGCCGTTTTGTCCTTTTATTTCTTGCTTGCTCTCTGTTTTGTCTTGTATGTTTGTTTCCTTTTCCACTTTATTGTTATTTATCCCATAATTCTGTTCCTCATTGTGCATTTCATAATTTCATAGAAAAGATGGACTCTTTAGGTTAAGAAGCTTTCTTTAGTGAAAGTTTATTTTCAGGAGTCTTAGTTGTATGCCTCATGGTGAAGATTACCTTGTCTAGAGAAGGGGAATTTTCCAGAGGCAGGCTGGCCTCTTGGTTGTCTGCTGACAGCCACTCACGCTTTTCCCCCGTAGTCTTGGAGGGGTAGGTTTCTGTCAGAATTTCTTTATTGAATAAAAGCAAATGTTTACTTCCGCAATGTGTTTTGTGCTTTTTTCTAATTGTGTGTTTGTTTTTTTATTTATATAAGTGTTTTACGGAGCTTGCAACTGCATACGGTCATATGAGGACCCATTAAACAATTTTCAGGCGGTAGAAAATTTTGAATTTTGCCCAGGTGGCGGCTGAAGCCTACTCTTATCGATTTTAGACCACCAAGGGATCTTTAAAGTGCGCAACTTGCACACGGGACCTCCAAAATTTTTCAACCTTGTCCGAGAAGGCCAATAGCTGAAAGACAACGGTAAGGAGCCAAGAAAGACTGCAGAAAGAGTCGGGAGCCCAGAGGAGGGGGCAAAGGAGGTGAGGGGGTGGGGGCAGAAAGGGGAGACGAAAGCAGACGACAGAGCATTGCTAGAGAGCAATGTTGCTAGAGAGCAGGAAAGGAGGTTAAAGGAAACAATTTTAGAGAAGAAAATTTTTTGGTCGCTACCCGGATTCGAACCCGTGACCTTTGAATGAGAGTAAGAGGCGAACGCCTCTCTCTAGACCACGAGAGCCCCCTTCTTTTCTTTAGTAAATAGTACTACAGTGGAACTCGGATTCAACGAGGTCGTTGGGCCTGACCTAAAATCTCGTTGAATCCGAGTGTTCGTTATAGCAAACACGAGGTTTTGTGTAGATAATTATAGGCACTGAGCAAGTAATGTATAAAGAGAAGTCACAAGTAGTGCCTGAAATGCCTGCATATTAATAATTATGAGCTGTCTAAATAAAAGCCCGATTCGTTCAAATACACAAGCCTGTGTCATCTCGATTGTTTACCAAGAAAAAGTTGTGTTGCTGTGTAGAGCCGAGCATACGGCAACTTTTGATTCCATAGACCAGCGCACAATTCATTACGTAGATCTACGTCAAGACTAGCATTTTATTGTAATAATGATCAGTTGCCGGGGGGGAAAGACTGACGCGTTTGTATATATATGCGACGTTCAACGGCCGGACCGCTAGTGCCCCCTCCCCGACACGCACACACAGCCACACGTGTACAGGCCGCCCATTCGACCCCAGAGTAGACACGTACGCGCGCCAACAACACACGTGTTGGTATTTAAAAAGGCCGCGGATTGGTCGCTTGCAATCGGCTTAGTGAATACTAGTTCATGATGCAGGTGCAATGGATGGTTTCTGGGAATAGATAAAGTTTGTTCTGGGAGAAAAATTAGCGAAGCCACGTCTGCGGGGGGCTGTTCACCCTGGAAGCGACCTCGTTGAATCCGAGCTCGCTGATTTAAGTGCTCGTTGAATCCGGGTTACTTTTATTGATTTTAAAGGAGGAAAAAAACGGGGAATCTATTTCATCTCGTTAAATCCGAGTTCCACTGTACATGATACAAGTCAAAAGGTGACCTGATTTTAGCGGGTCTGCAAGATTGTTAAAACCAAAAAATCCAGGCTATCTGACATAGAAACATGGAAACCCTTTTTTAGGAGTGTATGTTTATCAAAAAGGTATTGTGCAATTTAACATTTACCTTTTTACTGAGGTTGTTACTGTTACAACTTTTGATGTAATACAAATATGTGATGCTTCTAGGTCAATATATTGAACTGCCTTTTGAGTGAGTAAAGAGGAAGCTTACTTTGAACTTCTGAAGTGTTGAAGCAGTAGCCTACGTTGTAGTATAGTCTAAGAATGCATTTACCCCATATTTATACTTTATGTTATCAGTGCCAGACCTGGACCTTAAGCAAAACCCATAAAATATAAAAGCAAAATCACCGCATGCGAAATGAAATGTCTCCGCAAAACCCTTAACATCACAAGACGTCTTTTTTATTTGGGCCAATTAATAAAGAGGTGTGCTGGGTGCTCTCTACAGCTTCATGTTGTTCGGAAGGCCGCGAGACGCTAGCTAGTACTAGTAGTAGTTAGTAGTAGTACTAGATCTAGGTGGCCAGCTCCGGATGGACATAAAAATGCTAGCCACCTAAGTTCGCATAAATCGCCAGGGGCCCGTAGCGTAAGACTAATCAACCGAATTCGTTCGAGTAGCAAAACGCTAGACACCCCAGATCGGGAGGCCAGCACCGGCCTAAACCCACACCATTTCAATTTCACCTTACCATTTCAACTTATTTCAACTTGCTGTGCTCAAAGGCTAAAATGGAGAGTTGACTAACTGCCGAACCTAGCACTGTGGGGGATGAGTTAGACCAACGGGGAGCCTCAAGTGGAGGATTGCAAAGTGTGTGAGAGAGGGTGCTCAAGGATAGATAAAAAGACTATAACAGCACCTGGACATGGATGGCTGGTGTCACTATATATAAATTATTGATGGTCAAGGCTGAATAGAGGAGGACTGTCGTCAGGTAGTCAAGCTGTCCATCTGTCTGTCTGTCTCCTCCGTGCCTCCCCCTCTCTCTCTCTGACTCTCACTGTCTCTCTCTCTCTGACTCTTTCCCACTCTCCCCTCATCCCCTTACCCAGTGGGGACCGGACTGAGAGAAGGGAGAAGACAATCCGGTATCTCTCACTCCCCCAACCTGTCATAGTTCTTTGGCGTGAATATGCCCATAGCACAGTTCGTTGATCGTGAGCTCTTTGACTTTGGTTGTGAGAAGTTGCACTCCACTCCTCCACTCCAAACTCAAACACACACACAGACACACACAGACACACACAGAC